CTCGGGCAGCTGCGGCTCCGCGCCGGCATCCGAACCCAAACTGACTCCTTATTTATTGCGGGAGAGGGGGGCTTTTCCGCAGCATCATCTGTTTGGAAGAAAGGAGGGAGGAAGGGGGAGGGTTAACGCTAAAGAAGTAAGTCTTCTCTGCGAAGGAAATCCCTTTTGCGCTTTCCAGATGACCTTTTCTGAAAATGTAGCTTCTCCAGCTGAACGGTTTTGATTTTGACTACCAAGTGTGTGAAACTGATCCCTAAGTGCTCCACAAACCGTAGGATGTGTGCTTCCGGGATTAGCAATATGGGGCATCTGTTGTCGCCTCTCCTCTTGAGCCTGGCAGCAGTTTTTTCCAAAGGTAAGTCTTAATCTCTTCTGTTTCACTGCATTTCGTTCCTTATTTTGCACAGCCAGCCCTTCTCCCCTCTCTCTGTAGTGCCTTGAGTGCTGATACGATTCAAGACGGAAAGACTTGGGGGAAGCCATGTGCTAGTCAAACCCACAGAGGATGCGATGGGAAAGCCTGAATGGAGGGATCTTTCCTTGGCTGACCATGACAAACAGTCTGGCAGTTTCCTGAGGCATCTGTTACCTCCTTACTGTATTTTTGGTGGGGTGGAAGATGCTGCTGCTGAGCATAGCTCTGCTTTGGATTATGAAGGGTTTGTGGTATGGAAGTCTGAAATCCCCAGAGGTACAGGCTATTGGACTTGGTTGCCCCACCGTCACCTTCTGTGCCATTTTTCAGATTAAAATTCCTGTATGTCAGACTGGCTGGCAGTGTTTTACTGGACAAAAGAAACAGGTACACTGTGAAACATTTCAAAGCTCTGATGAGATGCTGTAGCAGGTGTCTGATATCCTGCATGCTGAACAGAGTTGGAATGTCCTGATGGCATGACTTCACACAACTCAGTGATTCCTTCTTGGAGCCCTCGAGCTTGTTTACAGTTCAAATCAGAAAACCAGCACACAGGCAGTGCACATATTTTTGTGTGCATTTAAAGCTTCCTCGGAACTTAAAAGTTTCCATCGATGGCATCAGCCAAAAGGTGAATGCACTTTTTGCAATACTTAATTTAGATGATTCTGAGCATTCCTGTGAAATATAAATTAGAAGTATACATATCTACTGAGCAGATACTGTGCATCAGCAGTTATATTTTGGCAGGAAAACAAAGTTTTCATGTGGTTTAGTCTTCAGAGGGGAATCAAAGCATATGCATTTAATCTGTGATTCTGCAAACATACTGGTAAAGAGTCCTGCTTATAAATATCCCTATTAAAAAATATATTACTTATTCTTAATGCCCTTTTACACTTCCAGAGATCAGCACTTTTCTTTTTCATTAAGTGAGTTATTTTTACTAATTAGTTTGTATCCACAACTGAGCTCACTGACGGAAGGCAGAATAACTAGCTCTCTATTTCTGTGATGCTTCCCTGTATCAAATTCCATTCTGCTCCTTTTTGCCTTAGAACAGGGGAAGAAAGAAAGGAACAAAATTATAAGTCTTCTCAAATGTTCCTAAATGCAGTGCCTACGTAAGTCCTGTTCTAAAGTTGCAATTGGAAATGCATTAGCAGCAGGGATTAGAATTCAGAGTCTTTTCAAGAGATTGCTTCATTCACATTGCACACCAGTAGCTTGTGATTGCCCAGCTAGGCTGTAAATGATGTATTTTGTTATAAGCAATATCATCAGTACTTTGGATAGGCTCACAGTGCAGTAAGAGTATGAACTTCATTGCATTCCCTGGCTTTTGCTGTGTTTGAGTTTGCTGCCCTAACACTGTATTCACATAATGTTGGACTGAGATTGCAGTTTATTCCAGGGTGGGAATAAATGGCATTTCAGTTTTACAAATACAGCATTTCTTTTATTGCCAACTCAGCAATTATAGCATTCATATGTGATTTCATTCTGACCTGTTACTTGCATCTCTTTTGAAAGATGTATTAGGAAAAATCGCTTCTGCAAAGGGGCTGTCAAGCCCTGGCACAGCTGCCCAGGGAAGTGGTGGAGTCCCCATGCCTGGGGGGATTTAAGGGGCTGTAGATGGGGTGCCTGGGGATGTGGTCCGGGGTGAACGGGGCAGTGCTGGCTTAGCAGGGGCATTCGATGGTTCTGGGGGCTTTCCAGCCTAAAGAATTGTGTGATTCCATGAAACCTGAGATCAGGAGATCCCTGCAGCAGCCCTGGTGTTAGCTGTGCTGTGGATCTTGTACCTCGGGTATCCAAGACACCACTGCTGTGGGAGTGCCAGGGCTCTGCTGTTCAGTGACACAGATATCTGTCCTTAATGCAATTGTTTATTTTCTCTTTGGTGACAGCCTCCATCTGCACTGCTATGCCTTAACACACTGGAAAGACCAGAGTGTTCCAGAGATTTATAGTATGAACTTCACAGTGTAAAAGGTTGATTCCCACCCCCTCCACGCAGTACGATGAACAGACAAAAAACACATCAGGCATGATTACTACTACAGGGCATGTTTCTTTGATGCTTTTCTGCTGCTAATAGAAAAACTCTCTCATTTATGACATGATGACAAAGTTTTCCTAAGGAGATACAAAAGCTTTTAACATGCAACAGCAATCAGCTCTCTATTGTGCATAGGGCTGCTGCTTATTACTCAGAACCATGGCAACACACCTTGTACTGCACCGTTTCCAAATCTTTCAGGTAATAATGTTGAAGACTTGAGAATACTATTGTGATTTTGCTTTGCTTTTATCTTGTAAAACGCAGAGCTCCAGCCTGAGAAATGAAATGTTGTTTTCAATAAGGAGCTAAAGATCCTCTCAGGCCATCTTGTCAGTGATGACAGAATCCACGCGTGTTAATGCACTGTCAGTCTCACAGTAGGTGGATGTGTCAGGGCAGAGGTGATCATGCTCTGGAACTGCAGTTCACAGCTTTGTCCTCAGCAGAGTTGTCCTGAGTCAGTCCTAGGGGGCCAGTGCTGTCCCTCAGTCAGCTCAGTGTTTGCTGCCAAAGGTGGGAAGAAGTTCTTGGGAAGTCTTCAGGCAAAAAATAACCAGGTCCAGCTGATGTTAATGAAAACAAACAAATGCAACAGGCACAATAATGTGGGTGTTTTGTTCTCTTGTTTAAATGGAAATTCATCTGTTGCACTGGAGTACAATAGGAACTTCAGTACTTTATTTGAGCTCCAGGTTCCATGCCTGGCTTAAGTCTAGAATAAAACCAGCTTCTCCCATAAGATGCCAAACACTTCTGGGATCTATATTGCAAAACTAAAGATTGAGGAGCCTTTTTAATTATGAATGTCTCCATATAAAACCCGATTTCATTGATTTCAAATTTCAAGTTTAAGTTGACAGTAAAAACCAAATGAACATTTTAGTGATTTGTTCTGTTTGTCTTCTGCTGAGCATTTTGTGTTCTTCTGTGTCATCCTGGGCAGAAATCTTCCTGCAAGATGCTCTCTAATGATATTTCAGGCCGTGGAGCTGCTGGTTTGATTTTCTTTTTCTCTCAATTTAATTGAAATGGAGGCTTGGCAAGTGTATTAGGCAGGATTTCCTTGTATCCCCTCAGGGTGTTCCCCATAGCTAGAGATGTGCAGAGATGCAGATCTCCTGTTACAGCAAAGTGACTGGAAAGTGGGAAAACAAGGAAACCAAGCCCCCAAATGGCTAGTTTTCGTTCATTCCTCTAGGAAAGTGGTAGTATATTAGTAATGGGTTATAATTCTGTATATGGGATTAAAATCAAAGATTGTTTGATTTATGAGATGTATTTTTTTCCACTCCTTGGTGGTGGCTAGACAAGAGTTCAGGGTTGAATTACAGTTCATGTTGACTGATTGTGATTGTGATGACGAGGGACACATTCTTCTTCTCAAAGTAACAGTGCTGGTGTTTCTTGTGGACAGAGCCATTCCTGGCATCAGCTCCAGCTGTGCAGTTGGTCTGGATGGGAAATGTGCTTGCTGCTTTCACGTGAGCATAAAGTACACGTGTGGTCAGTAGGAGCTTTTCCTGTGAGCTCTGCTTACAGCCAAAAACCCCAAAAGTTTTCTGTAAAACCCCCAAAATAAATTAAATCTTTCCAGCTTAAAGTTCAAGAAGTTTCCTTAAACCCAGAGTTTTTGTGCTTTGTCCCAGCTGCACTGAATTTGAAGTTGTTTGATACACTAAAAGGGAAGGGGAACACCATTTCCACTTTTTCACTCTTGCTGTGTTTCTTGCCACAGAGTATTTGTGGGAAAAACTCCATTCTGATTCCTTTTCTTTCAGTAAAAATAATAAATTCAGACTGAACAAAAAATTCCACAGCTAGACCCATGTTTTATTTGTCAGCTGCAATACTGGCTTAATGTGATTTGGTTTCTAATATTTCCCTGTAATGTTCTCATTTTTTTACTTCTGTCTTTTCTTTTATTAGTTCCTTAGGACAGGCAGGCTCTGTGACACCAACCAATGTTTTAGATATTAATAAAAGCAGCTTTATTCAATAAAGATCAGTTTTATTTAATAAAGGAGAGAATCAAAAGATAATCTGATTTTTCATGCTGCATTCACATTAAATCAAGCTCCTGAGGTGGTTGTGGATGCCAAGTCTAGTGGCAGTCTATCACGGGTCCTAGGATACATAAACATGACTGCAGACAGATTGATTGCAGGGAAGCTGAAGAGGCAGCTGAGATTCATCACAAGTTTGGTTTATAAAGTGGTACATTAAATTACTTGATTTTCACCAGTCTTTGTAGTATTGCCTGCTGCATTATTAATGGCAGCTCCAAATGAAGTGGATTTTAAGTAGGTCCGAGACATGTAGATAACACTAATTACCATGAGCAGTTTAAAGTACATATTTGAGGATCTTAGGCTACTTTGCCCCGGGGTTGAAATGTGGGCACAGTTCACTGCAGAATGAGGATTGGCCCTTTCATGTCCCTTATTTCTTTTATTGAATAGACTTAATTCCGGTGTAAGGTGTTGGTCTGATGGTCCCACAGAGCCAAGGGATTGAAACTGTTTATCTTCCAAAGCACAGCCTGTGTGGTACCAATGCAAGCTTCCATTTGCTGCTTTAGTGCTGTGCCTAAACCGGACCCAGGGGAGGCTGTAACTCACAGCTCTGCGATGGAAGGAGTTACACCCTGCTACTGAGCCCACTGCAGTCCGTCAGGGCGTTTCAGTGCCTTCAGCAGGCTTCAATTCAGACTAGACAGAGTTTTCTGGAGTGGTATTTTTCAGCCTGTAGCCCACACACCGGTGGTGATTCATAGAACATCTGAGCAGTGTTGTGAAACCAGTGCCAGAAACCTTCTGCGTGCATGGGAGAAAAAACCGAGGGGAGGAAATGGAAGTAACAAGGCTGCTTT